TTTTTACTGGATAATTTCTTTTCCTATCAAATTATGAAGAGCGGTGATTATAACGAGAAGCTATGAGCCTAGCCTTCGTACTCTATGTACATTTGAGTTATGGTGATGATGTGCGAGTCTATGAGCTCTATTTGAAAAAAGTCATTTACTGTATGCAAAGATTCATTTTCTATTACAGTATGCTTTTTACAGCGCTCTCTTATTGACATGTATTCCGAAGTGCTGGATTTACTCAGTGAATATGACTCCTCGTATGATACCGCTGACAATCTGCCAAGGGTCGTTGTTGTGGGTGATCAAAGTGCAGGTGATGCTTTAGTGTTCTATAAAATATTTTATTGGATCATTGATCCATTTAATTTCAGGGAAAACATCTGTTTTGGAAATGGTAGCTCAAGCACGAATTTTTCCTCGTGGATCTGGGGAAATGATGACACGAGCACCCGTCAAGGTTGAGCTATTTCTTTTTGATGTCTTTCTCCCTGGAGGATTGATTAGTTGAGTGACTCGCTTTGCAGGTGACTTTATCTGAAGGCCCTTACCACGTGGCTCAATTCAAAGACTCTACTCGTGAATTTGATCTATCGAAAGAAGAAGATCTGCGTTCGTTGCGCTCTGAAATTGAGGTTCGAATGAGGAATTCGGTCAAGGATGGACACAGTGTTTCTAACGAAGTCATAGCACTGACCGTAAAAGGTCCGTCAGGACAGGTTTAGCTTGTTCTAGGAACTCAAAAGTTAGCGTCACTCCATATTTTTGTTATATTCTAGGGCCAAATCTAGCACGTATGGTTTTGGTGGATCTTCCTGGCGTCATTTCTACAGTGACAGTTGATATGGCTAGAGAAACAAAGGATGATATTATAAAGATGAGTCGAACGCATATGGAGAATCCCAACGCTATCATTTTGTGCATACAAGACGGGTGAGCCATTGCTGTTCTTGTCCTCTGTGACAATAACTACTTAAAATGTTTTGCTTTTCAGATCTGTGGATGCAGAACGTAGCAACGTTACGGATTTAGTCAGTAGTATCGATCCAACTGGCAGGCGAACCATCTTAGTATTGACCAAGGTAGTTTCTTGTTTCTAGACTAAAATTATTCTTTTGTAAATAATGAGATACAGGTCGATTTGGCAGAACAAAATTTGACGAATCCCGACAGAATCAAGAAGATTTTGGAAGGAAAATTATTCCCAATGAAGGCTTTGGGCTATTTCGGAGTCGTAACAGGCCGTGGCAACAGTGCCGACTCTATAGAGGAAATCCGAAGATACGAGGAAGACTTCTTTTCAAACAGTCGTCTCTTAAAGTGGGTTTGATGATATCCTATAAAATTTCGCAAGAAGGACGAGGATGATAGAAGACATTTACTATTTCATTTATTCAGAGATGGTGTACTAAAACCTTCACAAATGACCACAAGGAATATGTCTCTCGCTGTCTCGGATTGTTTTTGGAGGATGGTTCGAGATTCGATAGAAAGTCAAGCTGACGCCTTTCGAGCAACGAGGTATTAAACAGCGTAAATTTGGCCTTGTACCTTCGCTCCTCGTTTGACTATTCAAAGCTAGCTACATGATTGTACTCACGCAGCGCTTTTTTCCCGAGTGTATAAGTGTGGAAGTGGCAGTGCATGGTCAGTGGATGTACCTGACTGAGCGCGATTACCATCACAGATTTAAATTGCGCTCAAGTGTTTGACACAAGGAACTTTTGTCAAGTCTAGGCTTGTAATGAAGACTATCACGCTGTTCCACATCACTGGTTTTGAATTGTGTCTAGGCTTTTGAAGTTAAAATCTCAAAAGTAATCCAGTAATCACTATCTTTTTAACAAAAAGTATTTTGAGAAAGGTTTTTTGCAGTAAATAAAGTCGCACATCATTTCTGTTGTGATTTGATATCTGAATGCTGAAACTCTGCATTCTGTTATTCAAGAGTCAGTATAGATCTATATGTGATCTTTTATGTCTATCTTTATCCTAACAAATTTACAGGTTCAACCTTGAAACGGAATGGAAAAATACTTTCCCACGGATACGACAATTGGATAGAGATGAACTCTTTGATAAAGTATGTATTTCGTGCATAATATGTACATTTGCATTGGTAATCTTGTCGGTCTGCATTCGCCGCCAAGTGATTACTTTTCATTAAAGGCCCGGGGGGAGATCCTTGATGAAATCGTCAATCTTTCCTTGGTTACTGCGGAGGAATGGGAGAAGAAATTGCAAAAAAAGCTTTGGGAAACCGTTTCCAGTCACGTTTTTGACCAAATCCTTATGCCAGCATGGGTGGTGGAGAACGCAGGGTAAGCATCTTTATGCACATGCATTAATCACTTCTTCTTTATTCGAAGAATTGGTAGCTATCCTTATCTTCAGATCGTTCAACACAATGGTGGATATTCGTCTCAAACACTGGGCTGACAAAGAGCTACCACAGAAGAGTGTGAATGTGTGTGTTTTCAATTTAATTCTTTTCATTTATTGATAAAATGTCTTTTAGTCAGGTTGGGAAACATTAAGAGAGGTGTTTTCTCAACAAGTGAACCAAGATGCGACCCGAAGCGATCATGATCCGATCTTCGACCCACTTAAAGAAGCTGTGATCCAGGAAGCGATGTCAACTCATGAGTGGGACTCCAAAGCGTTGGATTATTTGGTAATGTGATACTTTCCCGTAGGTGCAGAAACTTCTACTTTGTTTTTCTTTTCAAACAAGTCCAAATTTTTCTTTTTGTAGCGCGTAATCCAGTTGAACGCAATGGAAGATCGCGCGGTGCCAGATCGAAGGTCCTGGGACTCTGCTTGTCAATTTATGGGGCAGGTGAGAGTTTTCATTTTTCAAGTTCAAAAAAAATGTTTGATGCTAATAATCTAGACTGCTTCAACCAGACTTGCTATGGTTAACAAACAATTGAGTGAGGCTCGTGGACCAGGATGGGTGTCGCGCTGGATTTTCTGGCAGACTCCATCAGCGGACAATCACTTTGCTAGTGCGGTCCAAGATGAGCTCGCTACAATGCTCGCCAACGATCCGGTAGGTTTTGGAATTTTGTACCTCGCAACAATTTATTAAATTCTGTAATCTTCAGATGTTCAAACTAGAATTTGCTTTAGGTTGAGTAAATAAATCTAAACTGAATGCAGACCAGAAGCTATTATTTTATTCAGTTCAGTTGAATTCTATTACAGGAGCACAAACAAGCATTGACAGACGAAGACATCTTAGTAGTTCGGCGAAATCTTGAAACGAAGGGAGTGATTGAGGTTCCTTCTGAAACGATACGACGCCAGTGGAATCTGATGTACAAGAAGCACTTTCTAGAAAAAACTATACAGGTATTTTGAAATCTCCCTTTTCATACTGACAATTATCCTACACTGGCGTTTATGATGATCTGCTTCAGAGCAGTCGTGATTGCCCAGCATTATATCAGCATTACCGCCAAGGGTTTAATGAAGGTGATGTTGACTGTCAAACTGTCGTCTTTTTCTATAGGTGATTGTTGACGATTTTTTAGAAA